GATGCACAATTCCAGGCCAGCAATTGCTGCCTCATATTCAGCTTCGTTGTTCGAAGCCTTGAAAGAAAATTTTAGTGCATACTCAAAGGATTTGCCTTCGGGAGAGGTTATCACTACCCCTGCCCCCGAACCATTTACGGTGGAGGATCCATCCGTAAACACGGTCCAGACTTTCTTTTCATTGTCTAGCGTCTCTTGGTACGAGCATTCGGCCAAGAAATCCGCTAGAGTTTGAGCCTTGATGGCAGCCCTCGGCTGGTAGCTGATGCTGAATTCGGTGAGCTCAAAAGCCCACTTGGCCAGCCTACCAGATTTTTCAACTTTGCCGAGAACTTTTTCCAGCGGCTGATCAGTTAAGACCACTATCTGATGGCAATCAAAATAGGGCCTCAGCTTCCGAGTAGCTACCACTACTGCAAAAGCGACTTTCTCGAGTAGAGGGTAGCGAGTCTCGACATCCGTTAGAGTGTGACTGACGAAGTAGATCGGTTGCTGAATTTTGTTTTCTTCCTTCAGCAGCATTGCACTGATGGTGGCTGGGCTAACAGCCACGTACAGATACAAAGTTTCTCCCTCTGCTGGGCTAGCCAGCGTTGGGAGTTGAGCCAGATGCTCCCGAAGCTGCTTGAAGGCTTCTTTTTGCTCTTCTTCCCAAACGAGCTCTTTTGTTTTTGGGAGTTTCAGGGCTTTGAAGAAAGGTAACCCCTTATCCGAAGCTCTGGAAATGAACCTCGAGAGGGCTGCCATCCTTCCGGTGAGCCGCTGAACATCCCGCTTTGTTTTCGGCTCAGGAAAATCGAGCGTTGCTTTGACTTTGGAGGGATTGGCATCAATCCCCCTCTTGCTGACCATGAACCCAAGGAATTTCCCTGACTTCACGCCGAAGACACACTTCTTCGGATTCAACTTCATTTGGTGCTTTCTTAAGGTGGCGAAGGTTTCAGCCAGGTCCTTAACATGGTCCTCAGATTTTTTGCTTTTGACGATTGAATCGTCAACATAGACTTCCATGTTTCGGCCTTTTTGATCGGCAAAAACTTGATCCACCAGCCTTTGATAGGTTGCCCCCGCATTTTTCAATCCGAAGGGCATCATTTTATAATTGTACACCCCGGCGTTCGTGACGAATGCCGTCTTTGCTCAATCGTCAGGGTGCATGAAGATCTGATGATATCCCGAGAATGCGTCCATGAAACTAAGCAAGGCATGGCCACTCGTCGAGTCGACTAGCTGATCGATCCTCGGCAAGGGATAGAAATCCTTCGGACAAGCCTTATTTAGGTCCGTGAAGTCAATGCACATTCTCCAGGTACCATTGGCCTTCTGAACCATCACCACATTTGCCAGCCATTCTGGATATTGACAAGGCTCGATGAAGCCTGCCTCCAGCAACTTTTTGACCTCGGCTGCGATGTCTCGGTTCTTATTTGCGGAGTAATTCCGCTTCTTTTGCTTAATTGGCCGACACGTTGGGTCAACATTAAGCTTATGGGAGATGAGGTCTGGACTTATCCCGGGCATATCAGCTGCCGAGAAAGCAAACACATCTCTGTTGTCCTGAAGGAGTTGAATGAGTTCACAACGGGTGTTCGGATCAAGATCCCTCCCGATTGTTACACATTTCTCAGCGTCTCCTTCGGTCAACTTGACCGTTTCAGTCTGCTGGTCCATGTCCATTGCTGATGGACTGGACTCTTCACAATCTGGCCTGCTGTCTATGTCAGCAGGCGTCCCAGACTTTTTGTTCTTCGGCTGGCTCTCTGAGTCTTTCGGCTCAGATGAAGAGCTAGCCTTTTCCCTTTCTGGCCCTTTTTCTCTAGGCACAGAACCTTGGGCCGAAGCACTTAGGCCTTTCGGCTTTTTTGTGTTGGGCTCTCTTTCTTTTTCTTTCTCCTCCTCATCCTTGTCGTCGTCATCTGGGCGACTAGTGGATGGCTTGAGGTAGTTGCACCTTCGGGCGTCCTTTTGGCTGCCCTGGATCCTTTCGGGGAAGCCGGCGTCTGAGACATAAATCATCAGCTGATGATAGGTTGAGACGACTCCTTAGATCTCGTGAATTATGGGTCTCCCCAAAATCACGTTGTACACTGAAGGAGCGTCAATGACCAAAAATTCAGTCATGACGTTCCTGGCTGCCTCATCGCAGCCGATGGTGATAGGAAGTGTTACCTTCCCGTCTGGATAAGTTGAAGCCCCGTTGAATCCGGATACCGGGTAGGGTACCGGCGTAAGGTGCTTGGGCTTCAGCTTAATTTGATTGTAGGCCTTTCGGAATAGTATGTTTGCTCCGCTGCCACCATCAACAAGGACCTTGCTGACGTCGTGGTTGGCCACCGTGGCGATGATCACCAACGGGTCCTCATGAGGGAATGTTACCCCCCGGCAGTCGGCGGCTGTGAACGTCATGTTCGGCACCGACGACTGAGGAGGCTGAATATCAGCGTTGTTCACCTGGTGGGTCAGAGCCCTAAGGTGTCGCTTGTGTTCCCTCCTAGAGCATATTCCTCCCGAGATAACATTGAATGGAGAGAATTTTCCCTCCGCACTCTTGCTGTTCTTCCGGGGGAAGTCAAGGTCCTGCCGAGAGTCCTTTGCTGACTTCTCGGCCTCTTTTTTCTCGCGGTAATCCGCGATGTATTTTTTCAAGTATCCCTTCCGGACTATGTCCTCGATCTGGTCCTTCAGCTGGATACATTCCTCGGTGTTATGTCCCGGTGATTCATGGAACTCGCACCACTAATTTTTATTTTTTCGCTGATACCACTCTGGGAGTGGTCTCGGCTTTCTGTAACTCTGCTCCTCCGTTGTCACGCTGTAAATTTTGGCGCGTGGAAGAGAGAGTGGAGTGTAGGATTCATATTTGCCTGTGTATGGGGCAGGTTTTTCCTTCTTCGGCTCGTTGGCCGAAGATTGTTCCGAGGCCTTAGCCTTTCCCTTTGTCCTCTGGCCTTAGCCTTCAGACGAGGGTGTTTGTTTTTGCTTCCCTCCCCCAGATTGAGGTTGGGTTTTTGTTTTGTTACACTCTTCGGCTCGGATGAATTTATCCGAGGCGTTCAGAGCTTCCTCCAAGGTCTGCGGGGTATGCATGACCATGAAGTCTAAGAACGTCCCAGGCTGAAGGCCATTCTGCATTGCAAAAACAGCTAGCCCTTGGTCCAGCTGAGAGACGCTGGATGACTCGTTGCTGAAACGGGTCAGATAGTCTCGGAGGCTTTCAGCCTCCCCTTGTTGCAGACCCATGAGTTCTTCAGTAGTCTTCTCTCGGCGGTTTGCCGTGGAAAACTTGCTCCTAAATTTGGAGGACAGATCGTCCCACCCAGCGATTGAGCCTTGTTTCATTCCTTTGGAGATCCACGCTTGCGCGACCCCCTTGAGAGTGGTTGGAAAATATTTGCACCAAGTCGCTTCGGACCTGGGGCAAAGATGCATATGAGCCTCATACGAGGCAATGTGGTCCTTCGGATCCAAAGTCCCATCATATGTGACGTGCGACGGTATTTTAACCGTGGGCACGTGCTCTTCCAGTATCCATTGCTCGAATGGGGAACTGGTGGGTAGCATAACGGCCTTGCCTTTGTTCCTGGCCGAAGGGATCGCGCTCCGCCCTCTTAGAGAGGTAGGAGTGGTTTTCGTCCCTGGCTGGGAAGTCTGGGCCTCGGCTACAGGGAACGAGAGGCGACTGTGCACGCTCGGCTCCCTGCCGCCGAGTCGGTCGAGTACACTTCGGCGAACAGGTTGCTCTCGGCGAGCAGATTCTGGCCGAGAAGCTGAGCTGCTGCTCTTATGCGTTTCTGGCCGAGAGGTTGAGGATCCTCTGAAAAATTGAGGGCTCTTTTTCCTCTCTCTTTTAGTTCTCCAGGTATCCTCTTCCCACTTTTCCAGTTCCCGGAAGGAGGGAGGTTTCTCCCCATCGCGGTCTAGCTTCCTCCGCTGATGCCGGGTATGCGGAGGAGTTCGATCGCGAGGTGGAGGCATATTTTGTGCCCTCATTGCCTCCATGAGCACTGCCAGCGCTCTCGCCACCTCCTTCGAGCTGGGCCCCGTCAAAGGGGTCCTCGGCTGAGTGTGGGAATGAGAGCGGATGGTCGATGGTTGGCTTTGGGGCACTGAATGAGTCCTATGATCGGACTAACCTCTGTTAGACCGAGAGGGACTCGGCCTATGATGAGAGTTGTGAATTACGGGAGAAAGGGAATCCTCCCTGTATGATCCTCCCCCCAAACTGGCACCCTTGGGAGAGTTCCGCTCCGGTGAGGGTGATGGTGTAGGAGTTTTAGGCCTTTCGCCTGCTCCTTGACGGAGGCTTTTGCTCTTGCGGTTCTTAGCCATTGCTACTAAGATGATTGCAAGATGATTTTGATTAAAGATTTGGCTTAAATATTTTTGAAAGTCTTCCCCACAGACGACGCCAAATTGTTTCGGATGAAAACAGTGGGGCCTTGCCGAAGGCCCGCTGAAGTGGCTGAAGACTGGTTCGGTCCAATTGATGCTGGGCCGAAGGTTTCCTGCACAACTAAAACACGTAAACTGGCCTCGGGGGTGGATCCGAGGAAGACCCCTCCGATGCCGAAGTCAAACAGTGTTTAGAGAGAGAAAGCTATGCAAGAGATTTTGTGCTTGAGGCTTTTGTGTGTATCTCATAAATGAATGAATTGAAGGCTTATGTACCTTTGCATATGAGGAGAGGAGAGTAATTGGGCCCTTAAATAGTCATGGGCTGACCATGGCAATTCAGACCAAAGGACTCTTGGTTGACTTGGCTTGATTGGAGGCTCGGGCCTTGACCTTGGAATATTGAGTCATTTAGTGATCAGACCCAATAAGATAATTGGACCCAAATAAATGACTAGGCCCAATTAGATAAATTGGACCCAAACAAAAGACAATATAAATAGTGCAAAAATTCAATTGTGTGTCCATCTATTCACTCGGCAGTAAAAAACAAAGTTAACAATCTATCTGCTCGGGAGTAAAAAAACAAAGTTAACCTTTTATCTGCTCAGAAGTAAAAAAAAGTTAACCGGCTTAGACTTTTATCCAGAATAATTCTAATTCAAACACGAACTTGACAAGCTAACCCAACCCGACTTAAACTACGAACTTGCAAGTAAGCGATAGAAAACCCCTCCAAAACCCTGTTCTCTCTCCTTCTTCCATTCTCCATAACCAGCATAGAAAAATGCAAGTAATTCTAACAACACCATCACCAACCAACACACCACCTTATCTTCACACTTTCAATGACCCCATTTCACCATTTTCATCCCCAATTCAACCTCACAATCTCTCTCTGAACTACAAACCAAAACTGGGTTTGGGTTCGGGTCGGGTTGAAGCAGTTAAAGGGTCTGGGTCTGGTGGTGGTACTGGGTTATTCTCTGCAATTGGGCGTGCAATTGAAGAAGAGGAGTATAGAAAAGCTAGGGCTGAAGTTCAGAGAAAAGGGTTTGAAATTGAAGGTTATTCTGTTGAAGGTTTATCTGTTGGTGGCCATGAAACTTGTGTTATTATTCCTGAATTCAAGGTTGCTTTTGATATTGGGAGGTGCCCTTTACGCGCTGTTCATCAGAATTTTGTGTGCATTACTCATGCTCATCTTGATCATATTGTAAGCTTCTATTTTATCCCAATTTTATTTCATTTTATGTAAATTTATAATGCAGGTTATATACCCTTTTGAATTGAATTTAGTTCATTAGCTGTGAAATTAATGTTAGACTTGATAATTTTTGTATTGTTTAGTTGATAATGATTCGAATAAGATGGGGTCGATTGCATGAACCAAGATTTTATCTGTGAATGATGGGCAATTATTTCTCCTTAAAACCATTGAAAATCCTGAAAAACCATTGATTCATTGTCTTTTGCTTCTCATGAGCTACTCTCATACTTCTCTTGTTCATTTGATTGCTGTGGTTTATTCGACCGGTAATGTGGTAAACTCCTCTATGACAAGACTTGTTAGTAAGTAATTCAGATAGAGCTTGTTTGTTGAAACTGTGGGTTGCTCATGGCTGTGTGAAATGCTTCAAAACCATTTTTTGGTGACCTTTTCATTACTCGGATTGATTCCATTTTTGTAAATAACTTGAGAATTCAAGTCATATGGTGGTCTTTCATCTTCAACTTAGTCGACGTGTTATAGGACTGATGGTTGTGGGCTTCTAGTTAACCCTTTAATATGGTGCATATGTATGCTTTATGATTGAATGTTAATGTCCCTATTTAAAAATTCTTGTATGTAAGCTTTTCTTCCTTGTGTTGCTTGTGGAGATAATCGTTTGACTTGGTGTTTTGATCTTCATAGAGGTTATGATAGCTCTAGACATCTAGTCTATAATCTTGTCATTTACTGGCTCGTCTTTAAGATATATAGACTATGTTATTTCTGTTTTAATTATCCGAAAACATTAAAGTTATGTGAATCTGTTGTACCGTTTCTTGGTCTGATTCTCCTACCAAGGTACTTTCAGTGACAGTTCCACCTTAGAACCTGGTGAATACTACGTATTAAAGATGGAGAGTTGGAGACTAAATCTGAAAGAAACATAACTTTTATGGTAATTATTAGAATACGAGACATTAAGATTGCAAGTTAATGATTTTCTATCTTAAGTTGAGGTTAGATTATGTTTTACTTAGACTCTAACTCCTCTTTTCTTAATGAAATATTGTCTGGGTTTCCAGGGAGGTTTACCAATGTATGTAGCAACTCGCGCTCTTTATAGCTTGAAACCACCGACCATCTTTGTGCCACCTAGCATTAAAGATGATGTAGAGGAGTTATTCGACATTCATAGATCCATGGGCCAAGTGGAGCTTGATTTCGATTTAGTAGCTCTTGATGTTGGTATGTTGATTTAGTGAATTTGCTTCTGCATATCTTTCTTTATACCTGTCAGAATTTCCCTTCCCTTATAATCTATTGTACTTGTGGTTAAGGGGAAACATATGAATTACGGAACGACCTTGTTGTGCGACCATTCAAGACTCATCATGTTATACCCAGCCAGGTATGCTTTACTTGATCCATTTCAGCAGTCTCATTCTCAAGCAGACTTGTAACCTCCTGAACTTTGGCAGTAACCTGCAGCTTTTCAGTAACAGTAACCCTCTTCGAATCATATGCTAATAATTCCTGGCCAATCCATTGTCAGACATGCTAAAGCTTTACAATTTTAAATCTAGATTTTTTTTTTTCTTTTTCTTTTTGGTATTTCCAGGGATATGTTATATACTCAATTAGAAAAAAGTTGAAGAAACAATACATTCATTTAAAAGGAAAGCAAATTGAAAAGCTGAAGAAGTCTGGTGTTGAGGTTAGTTTTTGTCATGATTTTCCTCCTTTCCATTTTCAGATAGTATTTTTGACTCTTTATTTTCTTAGATCACAGACAAGATATTGTCTCCAGAGGTGGCATTCACTGGAGATACAACATCTGATTTTTTGCTTGAGCCACGTAATGCAGATGCACTGAGGGCAAAACTTCTTATTACTGAGGTAATTGTCTTCATTCTTTTCTTTTTGCAACCTATTAATTATTTGGCTTATTTGCTTCTTGAGCCATGTGTCTGTATATTATGTACCATACAGTTCAAATCAACTTCTCAATTGTGTACCATGTACGATTGTTCCTTCTGTCATTGATGCAATCATGAAATTGTATACATGTACCTTTGATATATCATCTCTCTCATCAAGATTACTTTTAGCAGGCAACTTTTCTAGATGATGGATTCAGCGTTGAAGATGCACGCCAGCGCGGTCACACTCATTTATTTGAGGTACAATGTGCATGCAAAACCAACTGCCAACTCTCTTTGACTTTCCAATAAATTTGAGAATACAGAACTGCAAAATGGATTTTTTTTGTGTGCAAATGTGTAGTAAAGTCCATTAATAAGCAACTTTTTGGGGATGTGACAAGAAGCTGTCCAAAAAAAAAAAACAAAAAAACCTCCTTCAGGCCCATTCATATTTGCATGGCAGTAGAGGGAATAAAAAGGGTTGTGTTTTTCCGGTGAAAAAAACACGTAAATTTGAAGCCCTTAGAACTTTGGGGTTGAGTATGTTGCAGGAAACTTTTTTTTAGAACTCTGTATAAAATGAAGGGATCTAAGTTATCAATGGTAATTTTTAGCATCTATATTTGCATGTTTTTTTAAAGGATGTCATACTCCCAATGATAGCAGAAATAAAGAAATCACATGGAGGAGGGAATGTTAAAACAATATATTTTGTATATATTTTTTTTTTCAACACATACCAAGTGGAGGGAGTAATTATCTGTTGCATTCAGCTATTTCGTTTTGAAATCCAAATTTCTGAAGTATGTTTTATCTGCAGCTTATTGAACACGCCCAATGGATACGAAACAAAACTGTTATGTTGACGCATTTCTCTTCCCGCTATCATCTTGAGGTAATCACCTTGCAAAGTTTGCTCTAAAATGCACTCATTTTGTTGTTTGCATCCTGGCTTTGTAATTCTGTACAATCTGTCATACTAGAGGCATAATAGATCAATCTTAATTCAGCTAAATTCTCATTCTTTTTTGTGTTTACTAATCTTTAAGAGCCTTTTCCCCCCAAATTTCAGGATATTCGTCAAGCTGTATCGAAGTTGCAGGCCAAGGTATCAGCAAAAGTAGTCCCCCTTACAGAAGGCTTTAAGTCTATGTATTCATAAACTCGGGAACGGAATTGTTTTTAGGGCTTCGTAATTATCCCCATTGTAACTATATAATTGATGTTTTAGAATTTACTAATCAGACACTCCCCTTTTTTAGCTGAGTTCTTTATCTGATCCCATTTCAGTGGGTTTCTAAACTACTTTGTATTTTATGGTGGTGTTAAATGTATATATTCTATAAATATAGTAAATGGGGAAAAATAGCACCATGTAATGGTCCTTGTACAAAGCTTTTTATGCATCAGAAGGGAAAAATATTCAGGTATACGAACTGAAGACGAAAAGCCCAAGTTGTCCCAACATCACAATTCGCAAGGGTTAGCTACACGATTTGCTCTTATAGTACAAATTCATACAGCTTTAACCACAGTCAAGTAAAAGTAAAAACAAAGTGAAGAAAATAAACTTACTGAAATATACAGTATACAATTACAACATGCCAGTATTGTTCTTAAGCTACATCTCAATTTTCAAAACTTTCTAAACGATACAAGATTAACCACTCCTGACATGAGGTTGTAATCCAAAACAAGAAAACTGTAACTTGAAAAGCATTGTCAAATTCTCAAGACACTTTGGTAAACAACAAAGATGTATTTGTTCCTCCAAAGCCAAATGAATTTGACATAGCTGCAGTAATATTCATTTGTTTTGATGCAGTCAATGGCATGAAGGCATCAGAAAATACGAGGTCTGGCTGGGAAAGATTGAGAGTCAATGGCGCAACTCCCTGCAACAATGCAACCATTACAAATATTCTAATGAGTATAAATGTTTCTTGTTTGGCTTTTCAGAGTAACATGTTAAGCGGAAACAGATATTTGGACGCCTTGGACAGAACTGTATTACAGCAAATTATTGAACAAATCCAAATTCGTCATGCATCAAGAAAGATAGCTCTACATAGTTTGTATTAAAGAATAAGTAGATACTGCCTCAACAATAGATGTGCTCTATTTTCATCAATTTTTATTTAGTTGCATTTCACAAATCTATGCATTATGTGTCATTTTAATAAATTCAACAGTAAATAGACAATGTCATGTGAATTTTTATTAAGAGTTAACATAGAACTATAGCAACAAATAAAAAGAAAACACTTACATGATGAATAGCCAAGACACTGAATATAGCCTCCACAGCTCCGGCTGCGCCTAAAAGGTGTCCAATTGCACCCTGATATTGTGCATACAGTAGCGCATAAATATAATACCAAAAAGCAGACCATGGGATTTTTAAGAACTGTCAACTGAACATTAGCAGTATCATCCACTTCAGAGTGCATGAAACATATCTCCAAATATATCACAAAGTCAAGAAAACATTTTCATCAGATCTACTCTCAAGTTTACCTTTGTAGAAGAGAATGCTAAAGCACCAGACTTTGCATGCTCACCAAATGTTACTTTGAGTGCAGCAGCTTCTATGGCATCACCTGAGCATACATGCAAATTAAATATGACAGGACCGAAGACACTACTAGTTTACTACTCCAAAGAACCAGAGAGTTAATTTATTATGAACTCATCCGACAACTTACCTAAAGGTGTTGATGTAGCATGAGCATTCACATAATCCACTTGGTTAGAATGAAGACCTGACTGAAAATATTAGATGAGCAAGTAGTATACTGTTATATGAAGTGTGAGTTTGACGAAATTAAAATCTAAATTAGGATTTTATCAATCTCTTGGCCCAGGTTTTGGCGATGAAAACGAAGGTATTTGAGTCTGAATTGCCACAAAGCTCGCAATTATTTTTGCATGAAGGCAATAGCTTCAACCCATTGACATGAATGAATCAAAGACAAATTAAGGCACTAATTTATTATAGATGTTGTACACTAAATGGAAAAAATGAATTGGAAATAATTGAAACTTTAAGAATGTTTTCTTCTACTCATACCACTACTACAATATTGCCCACTGAAGCTTTACACTGCATTTCAAGTAGAGGTTAAATCCAACACATGTTTGGTTCATGTGCACTGTGCATCAAGCCATCAAATATTATCAAACTAAATAGCACTTGCAGATTGCATGACATACATAAATGGTGGAGTTTCAATTTTTAACAGGGAAAAAGGCACATGACAGGCCCCATGACCTCCCCTCTCTCAATCTGTATCTCTTATGCCATCAATTAGAAAGATGTAGAAAGGAAACATTTACAGACAGCAACTCTACCTGTTTTAAAGCACTTGTCATAGCCAGGATGGCACCTCTTCCATCATTATGAGGTTGAGTTATGTGATACGCATCACCTACAAGCTAAAAACGTCAAGAAATCTCATAAAGAAAGATCCCAATTTTTGTAATGAATGTAGTTTGAGAAATTACCTGACATCCCATAGCCACAAAGCTCCGCATAAATTTTTGCACCGCGTTCCTTAGCATGTTCAAGTTCCTTCAACACAAGGATATACGCTTTAGATGGTAGTAGATGAAGGAATAGCAACATTCAGACTAGGTTACTGAAAGGAACTGAGAAGTAGTGAGGGAAATTTAAGTTTCAATTACATGTAAGAAACAGTACAACTTTTAAGTGACAGCATAAAAGATAACATGATATCAAAAATAAACCTTAGTGAACAACTAAGCAATGCAGAGACATAACAAAACTGATCAACTTACTTCCAATACTACAACACCACAACCTTCACCGATTCTGCAGACAAAACAAGTCAATCCAATTAAGAAGCAACATAGATACCAAAGGTATAAAGATATCCTTAAAATTTTACACTTTTATGCCAATTTATTTACAATAACACCTCAAAGAAGCTGCAAGCATCATCTTACACAAATCCATCACGTTCAACATCAAAAGGCCGAGAAGCTTCGCAAGGGGAAGAATTGTACTTTGTGGACAAAGCTTTCAACCTGCAGGTTACAAGAATTTACTCACTTTTTATTTTGAACAATTTATATTACTTTAGCTGCACACATTATCTCAAGTGAATGAAAAGTAGATAAGGATGTCAGGGATGGAAGTATATACGTAGTATGACACATTATGGAGTTAACGATAACTTTTAGGTTAACAGACCATTAGAAGCAGGAAATGGAAAGAGTTCAATGTAATGGAAAACACTTATACCCCCATATGACTTAAGCAGGAAAGGCTAACTAAACATAGCAACTGAAAGCAATAAAAGAAATACTGTAGCATTTAGCCTATAATTATATAATTAATGTATAACCATCATATGATGTGTTCAAGATCAACAACGGCATCAACCTTAATAACAACAAGCTCAATAATTTTTGCCTCGATTAACTTTCAGAATTTAGTCTGACATCTTTTTTACAAATAAAACCTTATATCTTTGAGGAAGACCAGGAGGGGGGAACATCTTCCTGAATGTTAGACTTTTTGAACCAACAATGCTTCTCATGTAAGAGTGATGATACCTGCAAAAACCTGCAATGGATAAGGCATCTATGCTGGCCTCTGTTCCTCCAGCCACCATGACATCTGCATCTCCAAATAGAATCATACGAGCAGCATCTCCAATGGAATGCGCCCCAGTTGCACAAGCTGTCACTGCAGCATGGTTTGGTCCCTAGATTCAAAAATAAGACTATGCATGCATATTCGCTTTCAATATTCCAACAGTGAACAAACATGTTGATATGGGATAAAATCAAACGAGAGAATCATCCCTCTAAATACAATAAGCCATCAGATTCAATATTCCAACACTGATCCCAGACAGTAATCACTATCACAGTCTAATTTCCAATCTTCATCACTCTAAATGGCTAAGATGAACTTTAGAGGTGATGATTCTAGGTCCAGTGAGAATTGTTAGTAGTGCTTTCATGGTTAAGTACTGAAAGAGCGAGAATATTCAGATCTCCCTGCACATTTTGATTCAAAGGTCTAAGGCTCCTCATAAGGCATGCTTTTTTGACTGGGAAGTGATTAAAAGGGAAGGTTCTTACCAACCAATGACATTCAAATTTTTCGAAATAAATCTCACCTCAGAGATCAGGTGCACCCTCAGGAAGAGGAAGAACCAGGAGAAACCTCTTACTTTCTCCCATGGGTTATCTATGCCTCTTGCTTAAGCTTTTCATTTCAATTGACCCAGATTATAGATGTTTTGATAGTATGAAAACAAGGCGAATGCATATGTCAGTGTTACCTAATACTCTACCTCCCCCCCCCCCCCAACCTGCATACCACATATAGGAAAAGGTCAATTATAACACACAAGTGGTAATTTTTGGCCCAATGTAAAAGCGCCAAATCAATATTGTAACAACAATCATCATATACAATTCTGCATGAATGAAGCACAAAGCTGATTACACATTCATAGGCAGCATGTTCAAGGTTCACCAGAGACAAAGGAAAGTTCAGAAGATACAGAGAAAACATATAGATCCAAAATAAATAAAAATTCAAAATGCAAGAATACCTGGAATCCATACTTCATGCTCACATGACCTGAAGCCATATTGATTAATATCCTAGGAACAAAGAATGGACTGAGACGTCGAAGACGCTGCAAACAATGTACAAACTTTTAGTGTCAACCACTGATTTCCCTTTTTTCTTCCAGATAGTAGTTAATTGCTAACCTAAACAAAAATAATAGGTAAAACTTCCGGCAGACTAGGGTATATATAGTGAGATTTTTTTAAAAATAGGGTAATATCACTTTAAAACAAACCAAAAGTATAAAGCTGATAGAGTAGATAGAAATCGTATTTTGGTTCTAAATGCTGATCAACTTTTTGCCTTTGGCCCATTACCTCTGGCAGGAAAAATTATCCTACTCGTATGCTTTTCTATAGATCACCTGGAACATTTTTGCGTTGATAAAGAAAAAAAATCATTGAAAGCCAAATGTATAGTATCTTCTGCAAAGAACCAAATATCTACCTTTTCACAAATCAGCTGAGCAGCATCAACAATATCACTCATGCTACCAATACCACCACCGATGGATACTCCCTGTTGCCTTCTCATTAGCAAACAATATATAGCCCAAATTCTTGACTAAGAGTACAAATGCATTTATTTTTGCCACCTGAAGAGCAAAAGAATCCTTACAGTTCTTTCTTTCTCATCCTGTTTCGTCGGAATCCAATTTGCATCTTTTAGGGCCTCATCTGCAGCACATAGTGCATATCCTATAAACCTCGAAATTGACCTGTGCTCCTGGTTATACAAAAATAACCAGACCATTGTTCTGTCAATATATGTTTGTCCATTGCTCAATGAGGTCAATACCAATACAGCACAAAGTTTTCAAACTTAAAAGTATTGAGTACATTACAGACTCAACAAAAACTGCATTAGCAACGCACACGCATAAATAACTTATTCATTAGATAAAAGCTATAACTACTGATAAATATGGAACACGGCCATGTATATAAACAATACTTGTACAACAAAAAGAGTTCAAACATAGTAGTTCCGAGTTACATTATTGACTCTAACAAACATTATGTAAAAATTCCAACTTTGGATCAAAACGATATACGGCCATGAATTGGTCTGTCAATAACTTTTTGTCAACTGATTTATGAGGAAAATACTAATAGAGTATAAGGAGTTCAAACAAAGAAGTATCGGCCTACATTAACAGAATCATCATGGCATGAACACAAAACACAAATTGGTACAGTAGTTGTTTTCGAAACGTCGACTCAAATTGATTAGAAAAAACTACCAGTTAAAAAAGACCAGGCTAAGTTATTAAGATTGCATTATAGTTCACTTCATCATTAAACTTCTCTAATCTCTTCTTTAAATTACATGACTACGTTACAAGTTAAACACAAACTTTTAAATAAAACGGATGTTATAAAGTGACAATAAAATGTGCAAAAGTTACACTAAAATGCACAAAAGTTACCGTGACATATATAAGAGTTATTTATGCTTTATTGATAAATTTGACAAAAGTGACACTAAATTTGACAAAAGTGACACTAAATCTGACAAAAGTGTACCCGATGTACAGTAAATTACTGAAAACCGGGTGTATACAAAAGTTTTCCAACGGAGGAAGTATTAACTATTAAGCTTACTAAGCTAATTGATAAAAAAAAATCAAGAATAAACCATCACAAAATACTAAATTCCATTGTAATTCAAAACTAAGAAGCAAAAATTCATAAGAATAATAACCTTGAACCAAAAGAGGTCGTTGAATTGGCCAGAATCAGTTCCAGAAGGAACAACAGCAGCAACTTTAGACGATAATTGATCAAAAACATGATTCTGCGTTTCGACATCGAAATTATCCAACCTAAGATCCTTAATAGTTAATGCTCGAATTCCGCAATCACCTTCAATTAATCTCTTCCAAGTTGTTCCAACTCCACAACCAAGAGGCGTTACCATGCCTAACCCTAAACAATATTCCGCCATTGAAATTAATCAAATTGATAACAGCGAAAATGAGGAGAGAGAAAGAGATGAGAATTGGTACCGGTTACGAAGACGCGGCGGCGATGCGAGGAAGATGAAGATGAAGTTGTTGTTGTTGTTGAAGAGGAGAGGAGACGAGTAAGGTGGAAGCGAGAAGGTAGTGTACGACGCCATTGATGAATCGCCATTGTTGGAGTGGAGGTCTGAAAAGGTGAGGTTTTACATTAAACCCCTGTTTAGTGCTCAAACCACTAAAGCTGATGAAATGACGCATTTAACCTTATATAAACGCGCCTCGTTAATTTTTATTTTATTTATTTATTTATTAATGATAAAGAGTTTAATATCGTCTTCACGCAAGATCGATATCTAGGGACGGCAAAGGGTCGAACTTGGAGTGGATTATGCTAAATCCGACTCCAACCCTCCTCCAACTCGGAGTCAAATTATTTTAATGTAGTCGAATTCGGATTATTTTTTACTCGGAATCAGAGTGGATTGCCATCCCTAATTTCCTATCGATACCTAAACTATCTTGTAAAAGAAAAAAAAGGAAATTTGCTATCTAAAAAGATGCGCCTAGTTAATATGGCATATTAACGAGTATTTTCGCAGATGAAATTATGTACTACTCCCTCCGTCCCTTATTTTTTGCCCCATTACAAATATATAGGTCAAACTAATAAAACTTTGACCATGAATTCTCGTTAACCTAAAAGTTATAATTTATATTCAAGTGAGATTTTGTTAGAATCGCGTCATTGTATATTTTGTTAATATCAAATTTATGTAATTTTACGCGTATAGAAATTGAGATATATACGGTAGAAGACACGAACTGTAGACCGTAAAAAGTCAAATGGAGATGACGTAGTTTAAAATAAGGGTATTTTAGTCCTTTTATTAGAGTTGCTCAAATTAGCCGATTCAATTCCTGAGCTTCAATTTCTCAAAAAAAAAAAAAAAAAAAAAAAAAAAAAAAAAAAACAAGGCAAAACCATGAAAAGCGAAGAGCGACAACGGAACAAAACCAAACGAAACTCAAAAGTCTGAAGCAGAAAAAAAAAAGTCTGAAGCGACACAACCCTATCTCCCTCTCTGTCTCTCTCACATCATTTCGATCGGCGACCACCAGGCATCGTACCACTACCGCAGTAAGCATCAGCCACCTTCTACTACGATAACCAGGCACCAGCGCACCTTTTTGTTGTAGCAAGGTATTATTGTATTAAAATTTAAATTATCAACTATTTAATTTGTTATTTAGTTTTTATTTTAATTATGTATAATTTCAGTCATTTGATTGATTAAATTGAACTGAATTGTTGATTTGTTGTTCATTATTGTCTTATTACTTAATTATTTATAATTTTAGTCTTTTATAATTTCATAATCTTGACAGTACTTTGACAAGGTTGTTCAATATGATATTGTGGTGTTGAAATGTTGAATTGAATTCAACTTTATTTGGTAAAATTGCTATTTGTAGTCTTGATTAGTTGGTTATTGAACTTATTGTTACATACTTTGATGTAATGGGTAGAGCTATCAAGTTTTGTGCTTTGTTGGAATCTGGCGATTTGGTTTATGCCCACCAACTGTTTGATAAAATGCCCCAACCAGATGCTTCTGTATACAACACCTTAATCAGGGGTTATTTACTTGTTTGCAATGCTATTTGGATAGGGAATGCTTGATTTTGTACTTATGAATGTTGCAGGACTCTGTTTTGCCTAACAATTTCACGTTTCCTTCTCTTGTTAGAGCTTGTCGCATTGATAATTGGATTTTAGAAGGCAAGCAAATTCATGCCCATGTTGTCAAATTTGGGTTTTTAAATGATGGGTTTTCTCATAACAATTTGCTTTACATGTATGTGAGTTATGGGTTTTTAGAGAAAGCTCGTCGGGTTTTTGATAATATGCCACGAAGCTCCGAAATGATGGATTCAAAATTTTTTTGGTACTTTTATAGGTCATCAAATTCAGGGTGACTTACTAGCTCCGAAATCCTGGATCCGCCACTGATGATTATCTAAAGTGAGAATAATTTTATGCGTTTTTAGCTGAATTTAATAATTGAGTCAATTTGGTTGTTAATGTGTTGCAGAGTTATAGTGCTTATGTTTGGGTGAATTTAATTACTTTACAGTATTGAATGATAGTTTAGATTTTTTTTTTCTAGTGAAGGATGACAATTAATTTATTAAAAAAAAATGATAATTGATCGCTTCTAAACATGAGAAAGAGTCGAATTCAATTGCATTTTAAAAATTTATTACTAATGATTTGAGTTTTGGATTGTGTTATTGGATTCAAATATTGAACATGATGAATATGTTCCTTTTTGTGCTGATATGTAATCTTATACAGAATTGTTAATTCTTCTATTCCTTTAATTTTATCAATAGGTTTACGATGTCAGAGACCATGGATGAGATCAAATTTATTGGAAATAATCATCCTGACGATGTCAAATGGCTGTGTTCACTATCCGAGTCAGAACTTGTAAGCTTGACCTTATGTTATGATCAATAGGCTAATATTCCGCTTATAAGATGTTATGAATTCATGTTTAATTAGGCCAAGTAATATAAATTCTTATATTGAATAGTTTGCACCAAGAGCTTTAATGTCAAGGCTGGCAACAACTGTTTTTCTTTGATTTTATAGATAGGATCAAGCATGATTCTACAAATTGAGAGCATATGTTACCGCTCAACAGCATAACTGTTGCGGTTCATTACTTCGTCAGAAAACTAATATTTGTTTGATATTTAGATAGTGGTATAGTGGACATACAAATTTAATTGATGATAATTAGCAGATTCATGTTTTAAAAGTTAAACAGATTAAACCAAATTTTCTAATTTTTTTACGTCCTATGCTGCTGTTTGTTTCTCTCTGTAATCTAAAAGCATTGAGATGCTCATGTCATAATTTTCTACACTAGCGCTTATTCTAAAATTTAAAAGCATACTTTTCAATGTGGTGCCATTGGGGTGGAGGGGCTATTGTTGTAGACGTTTAGTTCTGCATATTCATTATTGATCTGCAACAATCTGTTGGGTTCAAATTTTAAGGCTGATCTGACTATTGTAAGGCTATTGTTTATAATCTAGTTGTGGCTGGAAGCTGGATGATAACTTATGTTAATTATGTACCTCCATATGTTTATATATATATATATATATATATATATATATATATATATATATATATATATATATATATATATATATATATATATACCATTGATACACGCGAGTTAATTAATTTGTTGATGCATGATTTATTGCAAAACTTTATTACTGACTTGATGGTAATACAACTTTGACAGGACATGCTTATCAGCCTAAAAAAGCTTGCCCTTCAACGAGCTCAAGCCGTAGGGCATGAAAGTCTAGCCCAGAAATTTGATCTGAAAATGCTCCGAGCACTTGGCAAGTTCCCGTTATTTTTTATTTTTTTTATAAACCTTTTTTAATAATTAAAAAAATGGCACAAGTGTTTGGCATATTGTTTTACGATGAGTGTTCTTTTTTTTTTTTTTTTTTTTTTCTCTCTCGTCTTTTTCCTCCATTTTATTTCTCCTTGAAATTTCGTATTCAGTAAAATGTTCACCCATTTGAAACTTTGACTCTGTGCCCATTATTTCTGTTATACTGCCTATCCTGAGTTTTAAATGAGGTATTTGGTCAAATTAAGAAATCGCATGCCTATGTGGTTATGCACCTTTTGGGTGACAGTTAGGTGTAAGAAATCTGAATGATTTATATGCATTGTTGTGCCTTTTGTCTGCTATGCTTGTTTGAAACTCAAATGTGCCCAGTTTTATAATAACACAGCTTTCAATGGATGTATTGAATAAAGAAAACTGGAGTCTGCAAATTGGCACACCTGATTCATCTCCTTATCTGCATGCTTTTGCAGGATTTATATTGATGCAACACATCAAAGGAGAAGTAAATGAATTGCAATTGACAGGATTAACTGGGTTGGCAGATTTGGTTAATGGATGTAATCTATTGAAATTGGATTTGGAGAATAGAGTAGAGACGGGAGAGCAAGCAAACACAGGAGAACAATCAGACACTGGAAGTCAAGCAAATGCAAAGACTGGAGGTCAAGCAAAGGCAAGGTATGTTTACCCGCTCTTGGGTGCAGGAGGCTGAAGAGCTTACCACTATTCAACCCCTTGTCCTCATTTTTTTCTATCACAATAATAAGGAAATAATAATGGAGGGTGAGGAATATAATATTGCCCTTGGAACTTGATTACTAATATTGGCCAGTTTGTCAACTGGATGTTATTAACCTTCACGGGTAGAAACTAGTGCTTGCCTCCTTAGGCATACATATGTTTTTAATTTATAGTATTTGGAGAAAGGTTGTACGTTTATATATCATTCCCAATTTACTCCCCCCAAAAGCCAGAGTAAGGTATTTTTTTTTTTAAAAAAAAAAAAAAATCATATAATTCTCATTATTTGTTCTTTCTAGAGAATAGAGAATGCATTTTGATTTTTTCTGTCTTTTGCTGTACATATCTGATAAACAAGGTAACTAAGACTGCAAAGAAAAAATGAATTCTAGGGTAGCCGTGTCGACATAAAGTAACATCTAATCAGAGTGAACTCTTACGCCATTCAGTTTTTGGCATGTAGTGTAACCTCTTGGTGTTGGTGTATGGCTTTCAACAGTGTTGTCTGCTTTTCTCTATTTAGTAATACAAGTTTTTACTATTGTCCTTAATTGTCGACACATTCTATCATTTGCATTACTGGCTTTTTTTGCAGATCAGGTAAGGTGGGACCTAAGTTAAAAAGAAGAAAGAAATCTGATATGAGAAGTCTGTAGACCAAGACTAACACAGAGTTAGAAGAGGTTTTGGTAATTTCTGTTGCTGGATGATTTGATCTGTGAACTTGTACTACTTGCTATAATTATTTCTTCACATATTTTCATGTTCAACTGGTTGCTAACATAGATGTATATTTAATAGATGTATATTTTCCTGGTGTGCCTTATGTGAAAGGTAGGCTCTGGTTGTGGGAAGGGTAGCTGCAGTCTTTTGTTAGAATGTGTTAATCAGTAATATTTCCATGTGGTTTGGAGACCAATAATGTCTTGCTATGTGAAATGTGGTTAGCTCCGGCTGTCGGAGGATCATTGTATCAATAATTTTAGAATATTTTTGTTGGTAATTTTTCCTTGGGGCCTGTTGACATCCTTGTGAAGTATTGAGTTTTAGGATACTTTATTATTTATCTTGGATGTGGATTATGATGTTACATGTTTCTCCCTCGCGGTCAATGGCTCAATGTCATGTCAGTCCTCATGTCTCTGGCAAAAATAGAAATAGAATGGAATGGATAGCAAAATTTACAAAAGATTCACTTTTCATTCTATATAAGGGATCATTTTTTTATTCTGCCATCGTTGTTGTTATGCTTACCTTGCCAATTATGATGTCAGTGGTATTATAATGAGAGCCTGATAGAAGTATGTAAGATATGTTCATTGTTGGTGTTTGGTTTCTATACTCTAGGTCCAAATCATAATAAGGCCCTTGAATATTGCAGTAGTAGTTGCCATTAGGGCAGTGGGGAACCGAGTTTCATTAATTAATACACTTGAGGTGCTATTTCTACATGGAGGAAAAAATTGAAGGATTCTAGAAGGGTGATTAAGGTCCTGATTGTCCTGTTATGTTTTCAGTCACAAGGTTGTTATATAAGGCCCTTGAATATTGCAGTAGTAGTTGCCGTTAGGGCAGTGGGGAACTGAGTTTCATTAATTAATACACTTGAGGTGCTATTTTTACATGGAGGAAAAAAATTGAAGGATTCTAGAAGGGTGCTTAAGGTCCTGATTGTCCTGTTATATTTTCAGTCACAAGGTTGTTATTGGTGAGGGATGATCATCTTGGGATTAATGTTTCATTTTCATGCTAATAGGATATCTTCTTCTAGCTTGTTAGTTCATGAAGAAACCTCTTTTTTTTAAGTAGGAAAGACAAGGCTGTCTGTTGAATCAGGTATTAAGTTTGTGGACTTGTTGCCTAATAGGTTTATGTTTGTGTGTGTGTGCAAACACTCTTTGGGAACAATATTGTATGAAATGTTTGGAGCCTTGTAGCATATAAAAAGTGGGAATGTTGATTTTTCTAATATAAGTAAATGGAGCATAAGATTCTTGTTGAAAGGCTTGTTGGTGTTCCATAAAGATTAAAGTACTGAGTAATTATTAGAAATTGATGTATTTGCTTAATTTCACCTTTTGTTTGTTCCAATAGATAGGTTATTTAGAATGTTTGCTACTAGTATTAAGATAAGCAAAAATATACAGTAACATGACTTCTTTTTAGAGCATTTTTAGTGCATGATTTATGTTCTACATTTCCTACATAATTTACACTTGAACTTTTCGTTCTGCAGGTGGACACAAAAGCTGCACGCCTGCAACCTATCTATTGTGGGTCTGCGGTAGCCGGTAGGAGGTTGTATCAGATCAAGGGCTTTGTAGGTTAAGTTGCAACTCATGCACTGTACAATCTGTTGTACCTAGTAAAGTCCAATTGGTTTTAAAATTTGCTCATTTGACTTAAATGAGCAAAATTTGTACGTACTATGAGTTGGTGATATAAAAATATAGCTTTGCTCATTTCTCTTTAAATGAGTAAAAATAACTTCTTTTTTTTTTGTTAAGTGAAAAACTTTATGTTGAAATTTGAAATTATTATTGTTGTTGGGATGATATAAAAGCTTTTGTCTATTTATGGTCCGTAAGTTGAAATAGAGAAAAACGAAAGGAAGAATTTTATGAATACATAGACTTGAAGCCTTCTGTAAGGGGGACTACAGCAACTTCAATACAGCTTGACGAATATCCTGAAATTTGGGGGAAAAGGCCCTCAAAGAGTAGTACTCACAAAAAAGGATGAGATTTTAGCTGTATTAAGATTGGTCCGTAATGCCTCCAGTATGACAGATTGTATTGACTACAGAGTTACAAAGCTAGGATGCAAACAACAAAATGAGTGCATTTTAGAGCAAAGTTTGCAAGCTGATAGCGGGAAGAGAAATGCACAACAAAACAGTTTTGTTTCGTATCCACCGGGCATGTTCAATAAGTTGCATTTTAAACATCAGAAAATTGGATTTCAAAACGAATTAGCTGAATGCAACGAACATTGCTCCCTCCACTTATGGTCTGCTTTGAAATAACAAAAAAAAAAAAAAAAGGTTTTAACATTCCCTCCTCCCTGTGAACTATTTACTTCTGTTATCATTTGGAGTACGATATCCTTTTGAAAATACGCATATATAGATGCTAAAAATCACCATTAATAATTTAGATCCTAGAAAAAGTATCCTGCAACATATGCTAAAAGTCTTAATTGATCCATAACTAAAGTAGGATGCTGCATACAAGTAGTACAAACTAGTCATAAACTAACTCTATGAGTATCCATCAATATTATCGATATTAGATAAACGAGTTTGTTCTTATATCCAATCTTGTTGAGATAGTTTCTTGGAAATAAAATCATCCTCAGAAGCCTCCAATAACACAGTCTTTCCATAGCATTTCAGGGATTCCAGTTCTTCTAACCAGATTTTCTTGTATCGCAAATAGGGATTCACCTCGAGCATACGAATGATCTTGCGAAAATCAGGAGCAGGTAAAGGGGCTTGGTCATCAATACTATCACAACATTTGAGCTCACGCAACTGAGAAGGCCTCAAACCAAGCCAGGCAATGTCCACATACTCTATCCCATAAATAGAGCTTGTATCATCAACATCATCCAAGTCTAGATCCCAGCCATAACAGGCACGTACAGCGAGAGGAGGGGTGTCGAGGAATGTTAAGAGGTCAAGTTGGTGGGGGTCTAAATCAGTGACTGCAACAAAAGGTAGTTCAGGGTAACATAGCCTGAGCTGCCTAAGAAACGCATAGGATAATACGTCCCAATTGACACGAACAATCAAGTATTCAGACTTACAGTGGCTAGGCAACGAAGACAGCCAAGTCTTAAAAATACGGTCATTTGGAGCTAGAAGTACAACAGAAGCAGCAGTGTAAAAAAGAACATCGTCAATTGTGTCAATCTTACAGGCAACAGGAACATGATTCTCACAGGTACCAAACTCGAGATGACCATCAAATTGTAGGCATCCAAACTGAGCAAAAGGGAGTAGTTGATGTGAATCATAGACTTTGGGTCCCTTTTCAGTAGACGAGACCCAAAAGTCGTTGTTATCCTCCTCTTGTGCTTCCTCTTCCTTTCGTAACTGGAAGCACTTGATCAGCCATAGTCTCTCATCATAACGAGCCTGTTCGGCTGCTGTTGTAATCCATGGAAGAACATAAATATTGTCAAAACTGGGCAAAGGAAGAGATCCTAGAGTCATGTCATCCTCGAAGTGTCTCGAATCCCACATCAAATTTGCTTTGTCAGGATCAATTTTCGCAATCCCTATTAGTCTTGCTTTGTTACAGGCCTTCAATTTTAGTTCCTTAACAGTAGTGTTATAGCTCAACACTTCGACAATAACTTTTTCCTTGTACAAATCCGGATTCCAAGAACATGCACATACAGTTACCTGCAATTTCATTCATTTTTCTTTGTTTTGATCAATTTCTTAGTATCCATCAATATTATCACTAATTTCGAATGTTAATTTAATGATATGATCGATGATAAACATGCATAATCCTTCCTAACAATTATTAAATCAATAGACATACATTTACCAACAATTCATTCTTTTTTTTTTTTTTTTTTATCAATTTGCTAGAACTCTACTATGAGTATCCATCAATATTATCACTAATTTCGAATGTTAATTATATGATTGATGATAAATATGCATAATCCTTCCTAACAATTCTTAAATCAAAAGTCTAATTATATCTAATATTTCTAGTAAAATATAAATTATTAAGTAATTTAATAGCAATAAGAAAATAAAAAATCAACTCACCTTCATCTTGATTGAGTCGTCCTTGTTCATACCCGCGGACATTTGTTTTTGATCTGATCATAAAATTTACACAGAAAAAGTGAAAATCAAACAATTTTAGGCTCATAATTTGATTCGAAAATACATTAGCAACCAAATTTTATTCAAATAACACGTCATTTTAGGGATATTTTAGGGAATAACACAATAACTCACCTTGCATACGCTCTTGGTTATGGTTATCAACCATATTCACCAAGGACACACCGTCCGCACCAGCCTGTGAAGACCCGGTTAGTGCATTGGCATCGACAGCAGAGGGAACAGAGGAAGCAGAGCCAGCAGCAGCAGGTTTCGGCTGAACAGCAGGGGCCTAGCTTCGGAGACTGGCTTGAGGAACCAGCAGCCCGTTCCCCAGAGTTGCGCTTCAATTCATACCACCATTCGGGGTAGCCATGAAGGTCAAAACATCCTTCATTGTCATGCCCTGATTTTTGGCAGTGAGTACAGTACAGCTTTGATTTATCGTGGCCATCGAAACCCTGTGCCTCCTTCACTTGATTATTCTCGGCTCTCCCTTTTGCAACCCCACGAGATTCCTCCTCCTGAAGGAAGGCTTGGTAGGCGCGATTCAAGTCAGCCATGGGTTGCTGAGACAACAAATTAGTCCTCACTAACGCATATAAATCATCATCGATGCCAATTAAAAATTGGTGCAGCACTTCCTCATCTCTATCAAGCGCATATTTGCCGGCAACGTCACACGTACACTGACGCAGTCGGAAAGGTTGCAAGAAAAGCAAGCGCTAATCCTTCGCGAAACAGACAGATTTACAAGCGATAAATCTGTTGAAAGACTCCGGAATCCACCAGAAAAGAGTTTAACTCTTGAGATTATTATAAAATGTCAAAAAAAACTCATATTAAAGACGGCTAAAACGTTTAAGTCTAAACAAAACCCTAATGCGAAAATAAAATAAAAATAAAATCCGAAAAATGTTTAACGCTATTTTCGGGCCTTAAACGAACTCGGATGGCTTAAAAAGCTTAATCACAGCAAAGCTGTGGGTTGAACTCATTGGCCCGTTTCCATTTCCGAAAATGTATTTTATTAAGCAATCTGACTCCGGGAGCCCGACTAGTAGAAATTATTACCCTTAAAAACTGAAAATCAAGCCTTATGACGTTGCACTTCTTCGTCGAACCGAGAAGCTAACCTCTCTACGTCATACACTGACCACATACGCATCTATGGGGAGGTTTAAGTCGAGTGAGTTCGTCAAACAACCCCGTTAATTTGGTATAATACTCTTCAACTGACATGCCTTTGGTTTGTTTGCACTCTATGATTCTCGACCTTAATCGCTGCAACCTAAGGCCATTAGAGACACAAAACCGGTTCTCCAAATAGTCCCACAGCTTTTTGGCCTCATCGAAATAGGGTATACTCGCTGCAAGCTTTGGGTCTATAGACCGTAAAATCCATGAAACCATCATTGAGTTTACGGTCTCCCAATCAAGCAATTTCTTTTTCTCATTCGGCTTTGTGATTGTGCCATCGACAAAAACGAATTTTCGACGAGATCATAGGGACAAAGTGATTGCCCTTGACCACGCAACATAGTTATCATTGTTCAAGATTACGTGAGTAATCAAATTTCCGGGTTGATCATCCGCTCCAAGGTAAAACGTAGAAGAGGGATTGAGCTTTCCTTCCTCAGGGTGAATATTTGATCGACAGTAGGGAGAAAAAAATAATTTCTCGATGTGAATATTTGATCTGGGTGAATATGTGATCGACATCGTTTAATGCACTGACAATTAAATTAGATTGTGAAATTAATAGGATTGTAACAAAAACAAACAATATACGGAGTACCTTAGAAGCTGCTTCAATGGGGGGATACAAGTACTAGAAGGCTTTAATGATTGTTGCTAGTGTGTGAGTCTGGAAGTGTAATTTTTTTTTTGGCTAATTTGTAATTTTTGTTTAGGTAATTATGAACAAATGTATATTAATTAGTGAATTTACATGTTGATAAATTGAATTGTATTAAAAATGTTTTTTTTTTTACCCATTGCTAACTATTGCGTCAATCTTTATAACTATTGGTTCTAAATTCTAGTTAGTCTATAAAAGATAATATAGTCAAGTGAGGTCTTATTGGATTTGCCTCATTGTATATTTTATTAATATTAAGTTTTTATAATTTTTATGCATATAGATTTTGAGTTATATACATCATAAGACATGTATTAGAGATCGTGAAAAGTCAAATGAGAAAAAAAAATAGGGACAGAGGGTGTAAAATACATTGCTTTCATGTAGATGTCTTGTATGTCCTGGAGTAAAATGTAGTGCAAGTAAAATGTATTGCTTTCAATTTCATATAGATGTTCGGTAGAATTCTGATGTTGTTATTATTTGGGTCGCATGCGATAATTTTGTTGTATTCCATGAAAAATGTCAGTATTGCCCCTAACTTTTTAGATGAAAGTACATTCAAACCCCTCGATAAACAATGATCATTTCTCACTGTTACAAACATGAATTTGCTCCTAAATATTGTTTACAATAAATAGTCAAGTAAGCCAACTTAGCTAATAACCTTTTCCTGAAATAAAAATAAATAAATAAAATATCATTTAAGAATGTGGTGTGAGAAATCAAATTGAACTCATTAATTTGTATGT